GTTCTTAAATAACTTCTAACACCTAAGTCTCAAAGGCAGAATTACCTTGAGGAACATGCAGGGGTTGTGGTTATCTATAAGGTTGTCGGGGTCGGTAAGATTGTGGTGGTCGGTAGGAAAATTGGTTGGCAAAATTATTAAAATTCTGCCTTGGTGGTGGAGGATTGTAAAAAGTGCCTTGTGAAGGAGGTCTCCATGAAAAATTAGGGTGATTTCTCCATCCCAAATTGTATGTGTTGGAATAAGGGTCATTACCCAGGTTGGAGAATCTTTGAGCCGCATTCACATGCTCTTGGACTAATTTCAGAAATTGTGATGCCGAAGGGCACTCACTTAAGTCATTAACCGAGCTCACACAAATAACACATGCCTTGCGAAATTGAGGTTGATCTTGCTATGTAGAGGCATGTCCCGCAACTAATAATTAGTCCATTTTTTAGGACAATGCTTCTACTTGTTAGGCTAACTCTAGGTTTTGCCCTACCTCATAAATGCCCCCTCTTTTTGGGGCTCCAATACTGGTTGCCGGACTTGCCGGGCTGCAGAGGCATAATGAAGGGAATTATCACTTAAGTTCTCAAATAATTGCCATGCCTCGGCGTCATTTTTGGACATGAATGTCCTACTACAAGAAAAATCCACCATTTGGCGGTGAGGCTCAATTAAGCCATAGTAAAAGTTCTGCACAAGTTGCTAATCAGGCAATTAGTGGTAGGGACACTGTTGAAGAAGGTCACGAAGTCTTTCCCATGTTTCATGAAATTGTTCGCCATCAATTTGACCAAAATTGGTGATGGCTCGCCTGAGTTGGTTGGTCTTACCAATGAGAAAGTATTTCTCTAAAAACTTCTACTGTAATTGGTCACAAGTTGTGATAGAATTAGCAGTAGGGAGTTCAGTCAGTGTTTGGCTTTGTTCTTTAGTGAAAAGGGGAATAATCGTAACATTAAGGCCTCATTGGTGAAATTTTGGATCCTCACTGTAGAGAAAATTTCTAGAAATTCATGTAGATGTTTGTAAGGGTCATCATGAGCTAGTCCATGGAATGATGGGAGCATTTGAATAGTGCTAGACTTAATCTCATAATGAGCAGCAGTGGTGTCCGGCAACTGAATGCATGATGGTGATGCATATGCAGTGGGTGTGAAGTAATCCTTAAGGGTCCGGTTAGGGCCATTTACGCCATTCGGGTTAGCCATCTCAATTGGTTCAAGGTATGGGTATGGATATTCAAGCCTAGGAACACGGAAAGAGACTCTAAGTTTCCTAAGAGTCTTTTCTAGTTCAAGGTCCAAATTCCACAATTCAGGGCGACAAGAACGGCGCTCGTGCATATACCACTCACACATACACACTAAGTTCCAACTCTGTGCACTAAGTTATGAAAGCAAAATACCAAAGAAGAAAATACTCACAGCAATTTAACGAAAACGCTTTACTCGTCTTGTGGGTGCTTGACGTGTAGACGTTGTCCCCAATTTCCACTTAAGCTCCTTAGTTGTAGCACTTTGGTGCTTTGCTTGCGAGTATTTACTTTAGCTTTTTTTTTTTTTTAAATACTTTGGTACTGTGGTTTGTTTTTAAAGCTCAGTTGCGCTCTGCTCGCACTTCGATGATAGCTTCACTTGCAAACACTCTGCACACTTAGCAACATTAAAATATAAAATTCTAAATTAAAAATTAAAATAGGAATGTAACTTTAAATTGCTTAATTTTGCCAGAAGTCCCCGACAACGGCGCCAAAATTTGATGGGTCATTTCACACACTAAATATAAACACTAAACTATACCAAATTCTTTTAGAATAATAGTAAGTCCACATATCGATCTATTGGGACAATTGTGAAATTAAACTAATTTAATTGCTAAATTTCTAAATTAATTTTGATTAAAAAAATTGAGAGATATTATGACTAAACAAGAATTAAATTGATAATTAAACGTAGGGTTTGAAATATTGATTTTTGGAGAGAATTCTAGGGCAAATAATTCAACTAACCACATAAATGAGATTTAACATCGGCTATCAATTGCAATCCGGTTTGAAATACCCAATATTTCACAACTATAAGTTTGAAATATTGATCAAGAGAGTTGTTGTATTCAACATACAAGCATGAATCATCCCGAGTAGCACGGGTCATTTGCACTAAACTATGGTAACAACACGACTCGTCTCTCGTAGCATGACTCGTCTTGTACTTTGAACACAAACACAAAGAAAACTAATGTGTGGAAAGCATTAAACAATCACATAGAGTAAAATACTTGAAGAGATGATAAGAACAATTATTATAAACTTCTAAATCATCCATACATTTATTCAAACCGTTTCACAATCAAAACTTAAGAAAAATCCCTTTACATGGCTAAGGTTTCATCAAAACCTTAGAAAAAAAGAACCTAACCACTCATGGAGGAGTGGGAAGAGGTGGAAGAGATGAAAGAGATAGAAGCCCCCATGAAAGTTGCCTTTGAAGTTTGAGAATCCCCCTCTTGAAACCCTAGCCTCCCTTTTCCTTCAAATAACTTTCGAACCCTTTGAGCAGCCTATTTTCTTCCTTTTATTCCCAGCAGAATAGACTGAATTTTTCACGCATGTAACCCTAAGTGGGTCGCTCGAGCGCCCATGTGGGCCACTCGAGTAGTGATGGGCCGTACATGTGGTGAGGTAGCTGGCTCGAATTTTTCGCTTCTCACACGGAGAATTTACTTTCGCGCCCTTTTTTATTCAATTTGCGTATTTCTTGCCAAATCTGCACAAGTGCACAAAACACATCATCTTCACTAAATAAACAAAATTAAAAGACTATGAATGTAACTTAAGCGACCTCAGTGTGATACCTTTCGGCCTATATCAGGTCACACCCTTTATAATGAAGAAGCACCATAAAAATTGCATCCTTTCATTCAAATGGAGTCCATTTCCATTCACTTCTAAATTTTTTCCAACGTACACAAGAAGTTAATTTTGAACAAACTTTTAATCAGAACTGTGGTAGAACGGAAAATATGCTCTTTCTTGCCCATGATGTTAGTGAGGATCGTTACACTCTGTCTACATGTACAACACAAAAGACACTTGAGTTCAGATAGGGTTCTACTAGGTAAGTACTCCGATGAATAAGTTGACAACTTTAGAGAGTTCCTGATATCCTGTGAAGTATTTGGATATTGCATACCTTTTGTGAGTACTAACTTCCTATTTATAGAATTTCATTTCCCTCTTTAGAGGTGATGTACAACTGTGTGTGGGGAATTCCTTGGGGCTTTGGAACATGTTTCTCTCAACTTTTCATGCTTTCTTTACCACTGTTGGAAAAGATGCTTCCTTTACCACTGTTAGAGCACTCCATGACGGTGTCAAACTCTCTTTATTTGCTCCTCAGCAGACGATGGACTAACTTTAGTCTTGGCATTTGGTCCGTTGCATTCCTACTCGGCATCACGTATTTGATCATCTCGACTCTCACAAGAGCTAAACATAAGTCGAGTTCAATCCTTTTATATATCCAACAACATTGCTACATGTAATTTTACCAAGTAATTTGTATTAGGCATTGACACAACCCAAAGTTTGTTTAAAACGATTTAATATAATCATTTGTCTTGACAGATTTATTTTGGTGTCAAAACACTATATACTTTTTCATGCAATTTGGACTAATTATTGGCACGTGGCACACTACAATCGAGCCGCCCTTTCTAATTTTAATCTAATCCTCATCAAATCTCTTTGTTTTTCTTGTTTGTTTTTGTTAGCATTTAATATAATTTTTTTCTTGACCATTTTTGAAAAATTCATAGGAAAACTTTGGAAATCAAACTGGCCTTTGGATATTATATTTGGAAGCCATAGAAGACAATAAGCTCAGGACCCATCTTTCACAAATTTAGTTGCTTTTATAAATCTAATCCTTATTATTAATATGCTTCCAAACATCGCCTTAGATTATGTTTATAGTTTTTCCTTCTTTTTTTTTTTTTTAATTTTTAATATTGTTACCGGGAATTTCAAATTTGGCTGCCACATTGATTTTCTTTATTTTTTTCCTTTTCAATTATCAGTATGTTTTCGAATGATGATTATAGGGTTATTTTTCAATGAAATAATCTATTTCAGTATATTTTAATCAAAAAATTATCATATTGTTCTTTGTGTATAAACTAATGTTGCCTTCTTATGTGGAATTATTGAATTTGTACTTCAAATAATGAAACATTTTACTAAAGAAGGTTAAGATAAAAGAAAATGATTCACAAATATAATTTTTATGAAAAAAAAAATCCATTCAAAATGATGTGATTGTGATTATTTTTTACTCATAATTTCTTGAACTTCATTGAATTTTAAATTTATTTAATTATTAATTTTCATGATATTATCGTTATTTCAACTTCTTAGTTTTAAATATCAACGAATATATACTGTATTGGTCAACACATATGAGTTTTTGTCTTTCTGATACTAATACATCTCTATACATTGATTGGAATGAAAATCATAATATGCTTATTGGATAATTTTCAATATATGTCAATTCATTACTGATTCACAAACTATATGGCCGTGATTATAAATCTTTTATTTTAGTTGATAATATTAAAAAATTATCGACCGTGAATTGATTCCCGAAAAATATCACTCAATACTTTCAATACAACTACACTGCAACCGATACTCAGGCCTCGTTTGGCAGCCGAACTTTTTAGCTAAAAAGTCAAAAAGTTACTAAATTAGCCAAAAAACCAACAATCCATACCAAAAAGTCAAAGATTCTCTTTTCTCTCTACTTTTTACACATCTTTTTGTAAAAAGTCAAAAAACCATCCCAAACGTACTAGTTTTTTTTAGCTCATATTTTAACCAAATAATCAAAAAATTATTATATTAGTCTGTTTCCAAACGGGGCCTCATACAACTTACAATACTATTATTTAAAATTATGCTCGTGTGAGTCTCATCCTTTGGTTGACTCACATCCTTTAGTGACTATATAAACTATTTTCTTTCTTTTATTTTCCCTCTCATGCCTACAATTTCTAACTAACCAACCATGGAAACCTCACAATCTCTTGCCATTGAAAGCTTCTCATACAGTTGGCTAACAAATAGAAAATTTTCTCTTGATAGCCTCAGTGAATCCCTCATACCATCTCTAGACGCCTCCGATGAAGCCGTCTCTGAAGAAGCCAAGTACAAAATTTTAAGTTCAAAGAGGTCCTTAGAAGAATCCCACAACTTCAACTTTGATATTCCCATCTCTAAATCTCTCTCTCTTGTCCACGCAGATGAAATTTTCTATCAAGGTCACATCTTGCCAAGGTATAGCGATGACCAATCAAAAAAGGATGATTTCAATGCCTTAAACTCAAATTCAGTTCTCTCAATACCAATTTCTTCAAGAAATGTTTGTGCAGCCGATAGAATCCACTGTCGGGTTCTCAAAAAATGGCGAAAAACATCTAAGCGAATCGTGCAGAAGTGTCTTGGGTTTTTCAGGCCTTTGTGCTTGAAAGTGGGATTCTCAAGAAGAAGTATTAGAGTTGATGATATTGACATGAACGTGTGGGAAGAAGAAGTGAAAGCATCTTCCCCACGAAGTACAGCAACCTCTGTGGGAAATTGGTATATTTTTTGTTTTCTGCTTTACATTCTCAAAAACAGGGAAAAAAAATTCCATAACTGTTGTGGAAAAAATTTCTGAAAACACTATTTTTTTGTGTGAAGCATTTCTGTTTTCACACAAAAAATAAAAACAATATGGGTTTTTCAACTTGTCACAGTTTTTTTTATTATTTTTAAATATAGTTTTGGAAACATGAAAAAAAAGAATATAAAAAAAGAAAACAATACCAAACATTTAAACTAGAATTGCTGATGCTTATAGGGGGCTGCGAAAAGCGAAGAGTTGGAGCAATTCAACTATGGAGTCTGCGGGGCCAAGTCCATTTTACTCTGCAGGTGATTGGAGTGTTGATAGCTCAATTGATGAGGCAATTCTTCACTGCAAAAGATCTTTTGGTATGTTCATTCTTTCTTCTTCTTTCTTTTTTCTTTTTTCAAATTATTTGATCATTAGAAAAAAATTTGTAGAGTTTTGCTCTGATCACCTTCTTTTTCTTTTCTTTTTTTGCTTTAATTTTCAGAAAAATGAGAGGCTTTATATTACTGAGGAGGAGAATAGGAGAAAGATGAGTATTACAAGAACCTTTATTTTATTTTGTTTTTTTGGGGCCAATTTCTCTCCCCTCTTTCCTTTTGGTTGTATATGTAATTTTTTGTCTTTTGAACTAAGACAAACTTTTAGAATCTGAACTGTGGTAATTGTGATGGAATGAATATAAAATATTTGTATATATTAGTCTTCTTGTTTTTGTAAAGATCTCTCTCTCTCTCTCTCTCAATTCTTTTAAGATTTGTGTTTGTGCAAGGTCTCTAAAATGGAATAGTGTTCACTTGTTGACAACTTCAAGAGCTAAGATTGCGGATGATTTAATCATTTAATGTTGGATAGTGTAAATTATACTAACCATTCAACTGCGTACTAATTAGGTATATGGGTATTTTGACATCTTTTTGAATTCTAAAGTAAGGAGATTTGGGTATTTTCTCATTTGTAACCTATAACCCTAATACTCGTATATAATTGGAGAGCAACTATGTCTATATCTCATTTTATAACTTTTTTTTGATCGTACTGAGACAACTATTAATTCTCATGTACATCTTGTTCTTGTGTGTGCTTGTGATTCACATTCTTTATTTATTATTCTTCTCTATTTTTCGTGTCTCGCTGATCTTAATTAGTAGATTTTGCAATTCCTAACATTTAATCCTTTCAAGTTTATTTGCTCTTGCTTCTCATGATTGTACATTGTTGGGCAAGAAATGAAAGACAAAAATCCGTTGAAATAGAATGTTGAAATTCAAGGGCCCTCACATGTTCTCATTTTCTCTTTTTGTTCTTTTGTGGCTACATTGTGTTCATTCTTTGAAGCAACCAACTCGGTTTTGATTCCGGTCCACCAAGTGTGAAATTTCACATAGTTGTATGGAATGGTCTTTATAGTAAATTTGAGTATACAGTAAAGATACAAAACATTTCACAACAATCAATCTGATCTCAATCTGTTTGGGACACTTCAACGCATAATTTATCTTGCATTTCGAGGTTGCTTCTATTTTCTTCTCCAATTAATTTGTTGCATTAGATAAAACTTAGGAAATAGCAATCATAACTGGAAAGCAATTTTTTTAATTTCTTGGACAAATATGAATTCTAAACATCTGAAAAATAATTTTTTTAGGCAGTCAAAATATAAATCATCAAGTTCTAGTAGATATCTAATCACAAGCTTAAAGTTGATGAAGTTTCAGTAGTGCAATATTTCTGTTTCTGTTTCTGTTTCTGTTTCCTGCTCTTGGCTGAGCAATTTGTGGCAGGTATATATAGAAAATAAGTTTGCTACTTGCAGGGATAAAATTACACAAGACATTGCAAGAACGCATACAAATTGTTGTAGTTGATGAATGTTAACTTAATCACCCAATCTATAAACAAATGAATGAAGGGTAACTCAGTGCACAAGACTCTCGTTACAGCGAGAGTTAAGGAGAATAAGATGTATGCAACTTTACTTTCATTTTGGAGAAATGATTTTCGTAACTTGAACTTGTGCTATCAACAACGCTAATCATAAGTCTTTGCTAGGCCAACCCATAACAATAAATGAAAATACATATTAATTTTAAGAAAGCGAGAAATGCTAGAAATTGCAAAACATTTAATTAGGACCAATGAGACCAAACAAAAAGATATAAAAGAACAATAAACAAGAACTGTCAATCAAATGTATACATAAGAACACAAAATTTATATAATTTATCCTAAAACTAGAACTATGCCCATAGTAGCTCCCTAATTATAAATCACTATCACAGGTGTAAAATAATCAAAATATATCCTTATTTTAGAATTGTCAGTATGTAATAGTTATCAAGTTTTACACTATCTAACAAGAGAGAGATGGAGAAGAGAACAAGCAAGGAAGGGAGACATGGACAACACCTGCTATGAGAAAAGACAAAATTGAAACAATCACCTTTTTGTTTCTATATAACATATCTTTAATGTTATCCTTCTATAATAAGAACCACCACTGTTCACCATCACTACCAGACCTAAAATTTGGTTTTGTGTTGTAGCTAGAAATTTAGCTTTGGTCTGGGGGGACCAATCCCTTTCCTCACCCTACTTGTCCTCACAACCAACAACACCTTAGCTAATTTCAATGGTGTCTCTTGAAATTTGGTGATGAGTCATTATAGAAGTTTGTGACATGTTAGAGATATATACACTTTTTTTAGTCCTTATTTTTTTTTTTTCCAACACCAATCAATTAGGCTCAAACCAACCTCCTTATGCCTCATTGATTCTTTTTTAGTGCCACAAAAAATAAATAAATAAATAAATAAATAAAAGAAAAAGAAAAGCATTAGAGAGAAAAACATGGTGAAAAGCATTTTAAGAATGTCTATACAAGATAACCTAGGGGGACCATAAACATTGCCATGTTGTTGTGTGTTGGAAATGTTGGCCAGTACTACCTTTGAAAGGAAGTCATTGCCAAGCAGCTGCTCCACATTCAAGGGAAAATTAGTTAGGAGTTAATGTTATAGGAATAAAATTTTTATACAATTTTTTTAATAAAAAAAAAAAAGAGATGACGCTTGTAATCTTTTCATTTCGAATGGAAACACTTATCATTGACCTCATAATTTCACAAATTTCATTGACATATCATTAAATGTGTCATTTTTTTTTTTGTATATATTTTTTGTTTGTAAATTATTTTCCTTACTTAAAATAAAGATAGTAGTGACACTTATTTTTACATCCAAACATATCATTTTGTGTAATTATGCCAAAATCATATTATTTGTTATATATTTTTTTTAAACCTCAAGAAAGTTAGTGTAATTTATCCTCAAAATTAGTCTATATTTTAAAAATTATTTCTCCACAAAATAAATAAATAATATCAAGCAACCATTCCCTCAAAAAGCATTATAAGTTTAGTATAATTACATTAAATTTTTAAAAAATTTTAATTTAAATAACAGCTAATTCTCTTTACATTAAAAACTTGTTAATTATATACATAAAAAAAAAAAATTTGTCATGTGTTTTATATTCCAACTTATTATATATGTTTGTGTTTTCATACCATTATATATTTAGCCTTATTAAAAAGAATATCAACATAATTACATAAAAATTGTGAAACGTATTATAATTTTTTCAAACTTTAAGAAGATGAACTAATTTATTAAAAAAAAAAAACAAAAGAAAAAATGAAAATTGATACCAAGCAAGACCATTTTGCTATTCAAAACTAAAAATTAAATTGAAATTTTAATTCAATAACCTGACAATTAATATATTAAAAAATAATATTCTCTCATATTTTTTCTTTAATTATCAATCAATCATATTACTTATCCATCATTAAAATTTTATAAAATAGATCTAGGGCTTTTCTTACCATGGACCCATACCATGGGCCTTTCTTTCTTCTCTTTCTCAATTCCCCCACTCTTTTTTTCACCAACCAAACACAATATTCAATTTTCTATCAGAGCGCAAGTACCAGACCCCGTTTTCTTTGCGCAACTTCAACTAAGCTAGGGTTTGATTTGAAGGCGAAAGAGACACTCTCGAAAGACAATGAGAAATGCAGACTGGTAATTCCATGATGAGGCCAATGAATCCAATGCCTCCGATGAATCCAGTGACATTCTTCACACCCACTCCACCTCCTCATTCTCATCCTCAGCCCTGGTTTCCGATACTACCTCCAGCTCCTCCACCTTCGAGCGCTTTTTGGGAATCCACAAATGTGCGTGATCGCATGAAGGAGCTACGCGACACGATCGATCTCGCGAGAGCCATGTGAGTAGTTTAATTTGTTCGAAATTCGAAATTTCAGTTGAAATTATGGCTTTGTGCTCTTAAACTGTCGTGTGTGTCACCTGAACTATCAATTTGAACAATTAATCACTTAATCTATTGACATTTGTTAGTTTCTCCTAAATCATTACCGTAATATCACATTTGTTGGCACACACGTTAGTATGTTTTTGTTGCATTTTGTGCCCTGTGGCTCGTGATTTATTAATTTGGTTGTATATAGAAGCAATGTTATGAAATCATAAATCAAATCATGAATCATTTTGCTAAAATAGTGAATCGTATTGAATCGTGAATCATAAGATTCATTTTATTTTCTTCTATATATCTTGATAGTTTGACGAAGATGGCATCGTTTCATGCATTATGTGATCAAAAACAAAAATAGAACTGAATTGCAGTAAATTGCAAGGAATCGTAAATTGAATCGCACGATTCACATAATTTCCGATCCAACAGCACGATTCGAATTGTTTTTGTTGGAACTCGTGTTGAATCATGAAACATACGATTCTAACAACCATATAGTTTGTTATAATTGTTTATATTTTGTGTTTTGTTGAATACTTTCAAAGTAATTGATTGTGTTTTGCTGCATTGTATGTGGACATTTGTCTCCTTACTATGGAGCAAAGTGAATCAACAGCCTCGGTTGATCACGGATGTGTCGGCAAGTGTGAAATTCTATAAAAAAAAATTAGGTTAGGGATACAATGAATTGATGTCAATAGTTTAAAGGGGTAATTGTTCAAATTGGTAGTTAATGAGCTAAAATGACACAAGTGTAATAGTTTGAGGGTGCAAATAATTTTTTTCCAAGTTCTCAATATGAAAACTTCATACTCTGTCTGTGTTTGTTGGTGAAAGTTTATCTGGTTTAGAATATTGGGTGTGATTAAACTGTTAATTCCCAACAGGGAAAAAGAGCTAGAGGGATTGATTAGGATCAAGGATATTAAAGGGTCTATGGAAGGTATAGATGATGGGTCTGCCGAGAATTTGGTGTTGAGGCTCTCTAGGTTTCTAGATGATCATAAAATTGATTTAGTATCACAAGAGTCACTTTCATTGCAAGTTACAAATGCTATAATGTCAAAGTTAGGAGCTCAACTTGAGCCGTTAAGAGTTGTCGCGGATGAAACAAGTCGGTGGGAGGAAAAGTCTGCAGCAGTCAGATTAGCTAATAAGATGCAGAAATCTAAACGGAACAAACAATGGAGGAAAAGAAAGAGGAAGAATATTGCAGAAATGCGTGCGAAGGTGGTTTACATATTCAATCTGCTCCTGCTCTCCTGCTCTTTATTTTTTGACTATTGCTTGGAAGATGATTATTTTGTTTGTTTATATATATAATAGATATCTTTTAATGACTTTAGGAGCATGAGAGATTTGACCAAGCTGATCAAGCAGCTGATGAATGGAGGGCTAGGGAGATTGCAAAGGATATAGCAAAACGAAAGGTACAAAACTTATTTTTTTAATCATTTCATGCAAAAGTACTTCTATTGTTTATTTCCTCGAGTACTCGGAAATCCAAGCTCATTTTATAAAATTTTGGAAATCAATCAATGTGTTTGGTTTGAGTTTTTTGAATTAAATTTTTTAAAAACTGAGTCTTTTTATTTTCGTATTTTTTTGTTTTTAGTGAATATTTTAAACATTTTTTTTTACTTTTTTAGATGCACCTTACTTAAATGTATCTAAAAAGTAAAAAATTTGTGAAAAAATATTTTAAAAAATTAATAAATACATAAAAATACAAAAAAATGTACTGAATTCTCATTTTTTTTTTTTTGTATTTTTGGTATTTAGTGAATTTTAAAAAAAAAATTCACAATTTTTTTACTTTTTAGGTATATTAATGTTAGATATGTCTAAAAATTTTTAAAAAAAAATTGCTTAAAATATTTAAAAAATTCAGTAAAAACAAAAAAACTCGAAAAACAAGAAAGTAGAATTTTCTAAAAAGTGTTTTTGGAAAACTCTAATCAAGCAAAGTGAATGATTTTGCTATATTGTATTTTTGTGATAATTATTGAGTTGGTTTATATATATATATATAATATGCATGTTTTGTAGTTTGTATGCCTCAAGCCAAGAATGTATATGACTTGGTGAGACACTAGTGCTAGATACTTAAAACTGATCACCTAGTTATTTATCGAAATCATGATTTTGACAATGCATTTGAATTTTCTTCCAAAAGGAAGATGTTGAGTTGATTATTGACCCAGGAGGATTAGGATTAGTATTTAACCAGCTATTAAGCATTGTTAGCTTCACTTTTAAGTACTGATGGGGGAAGACAAAAGTGATACCCACTGAATTTATTTGGAGTGCGTAGAAGAACACACTAAATGGGCCAGTAAAGGAGGGTGGTTTTTTGTAATGCTCCAGGGAGCAGAGTAGATGGCCGAAAAAGGAAACTAATGTAGCTAACAAAAAAACTACTATGGTCCATTCATTATGATATTTCTGAACAAGTTCCTAGATAACAAGCCTAGAGGTTTTCTTATTGATTATATCGTCACTGATGACAGTGACGAGAAGACTGACGATAGGTGATTTTGAGGTCCAAATTCTTGACTGGAGGGGACACCAAAGGTCTTTTCCCTTCCTTCCCTTGGATAGATAGAGAGGGAGGGTAGAGCTTTTGGTTTTTTCATGTTGTCAAAGAGTTGAACGATGAAAATAGATGGCGAGTTCCTGATCGAATTGATCGGGCCATGAAGGACTTTCTTTCTCATGATTTGTACCCAACAATATTCTCAGGTTATGAGGAGTGTACATTTTCAGTTTTGGATATTATTACTCACCAGCTTTTCTTCTCTAAATGCCATGTTTCTGCAGTTATTTTCAATTGTTTATAATTAGTGTGATAAATTTATAATATTATTTGCTGAACCATTAATTATTTAGGTTTAAACATTGGAGCCCTGAAATGTGTTCAGTCACTTTTGTAACTGAAATCTTGCTTTTTTTAATAGCCTTCTTGTCCAATAGGTAGATATAGTAATGGAAATTCAATTTTGCATGCAGATGCTTAATTATTTATCTTTAGTAACTGAGGCATGTGCTGATGCAGGTGGAAAAGATGAAGGAAATTGCAAAACTTAAAGCAAAAGAAGAGAAAAAGATATTAGAATCTGAGGTTAGTTACAAGAATGCACTATGGGAATTGATTCATAGATTCATAGTAGTAGCAACTGTAAATATGTTTTAAAAGTCCCATGATTTATATTCCAGTTTCTGATATGTATATATATACATATATATGTACATATGAATGTTACTTAAAGCTTGACATGATCTGAAGTACCCTGTGAAACATCTTGAGTACATTATTGTGAAACATCTCATTGCAATTGCCGAAGTCACAACACAGATATTTTTCAAAGCATCTGGTGCTATGTAGGACTATATCTGGTTTTTTTTTTTCCCCTCCAATTTTTACTATGATGTTATTATAGTTTATGATCCATGTTTCTTTGCCTGTCTATCCTTGGGGCAACTTCAATTCGAACTAGTACTTCCTTAGTTGCAGTCATTGGCCTTTGCTGAAGATGTTTTTTTATGCATTCTCATTTATTGGCATTGGCCACATCATTGTCAATTGACTTTGTAAATAGTGTCAATCAGTTGGTGGACAATCTGTTTGCAAAGAATAGGCAACTATTCTGTCCAGTTGATTTTTTGTTTGTATTGATTGCATTCTTTTGTAGTAGTTTAGCATCAATTAGGGTAAATGAAAATGATTCTCCAATGCTAAAATCTCCATTTGTGCAATGCTGTTGCTGCTGTTTCTTATTTTTGCCATTTTGGGTAATCCAATTTTAACTAAGATAATGGCTTCAGCTGGAGCTTGTATTGATTGTGGAGAAGTTGCAAGAATTGCGGTCTCTTAGGATCCAAAAATTGAAAAAACAAGGTGAGCACTTTAATCCACTTTTTCATTAAGATAGTTGTATATGTTTTGGCTTGTGCTTAGCATTTTGTTTTTTAGATTCTTGCATATATTTGACCCTTCAACATGTCTTCATGTTAACTTCCTTCTTATATTGTTTAAACTTTGAACTATTTTAAAGTTACATGTAAATACTGATTAGCTCAGATCCATACTGTTTATCTGTTACAATTTGGTTTATAACACATGAAACTGAACCCTGACAACTATTATAAATAGAGGATTTAATTTCTTTCATAACATTTTGTCATTTCACTTGAACATTCATGTAATGGTAAAGGTAACAATTTGGAAGCTAGTTGTACCTCCCTGTGGAATGTCTCCAACTAATGATAAATTTATTGTTAACCTCATTTGCAGAGAGTTTTTCATGTTAAATAATTATCGGACTCAAGTTTGAACAGTACTGTTCGTAGTGTTGTCTTTCACTTTGCTTTCTACTAAGCTAGTTAAATGTGCTGCTCTTGTACACAAAATCATACTTCGATGTGCCAATTGCAGCCATTGATACTCTCTTTACTTAAAGTCTCAGTTTATGTAATCATGCAGGCCATTTTCTCCCAGAGGAGGATGACAAGTTCCTTGAAAAAGTTCGAGCTGCTGTTGAGGAAGAGGAGCGCCAAGCAATAGCAGCAGCTGACACAGATGCTGCTAAGGATGCAATTGCAACTGCCGAGGAATCTAGAAAACACATTCAGGGTCATGGGCCTGACTCAGAACTCGTAAGGAGTGATAAAGGTGGAAATGAGGATAGTCAAGATCAGGCAACTCAGATTGAAAACAAAAGAAGCTCGGGTGCGGTCACTGACAAGGAATCTGGAAAGCAAGGATCTGAAGGACCAAGTCATGGTGGGGCAAATGATTCTGTGGCAAGTTTACCAATTGAGTTTTATCACTATTATCATGGCAGCAATACTGATATGGGGACACTTATAGAGGTAATTTTGACTGTTATATTTAAGTTCTTAAAAGGCTTTACTAACATAACTAGGTAATTTTGGGGGACTACTTGTGTTGTTTGGTTCAATTTCATTATTTTTTACTTCGTCCTTCTTAATTAGTGAAAGTTAAAAAGATTTCATCGTGGGTGCAGGTTAGAAGAACATGGGATCAATATATCAGACCAGGGGGAAGGTGAGGCCACCAATACTTTCTTGCCTTAGAATGCGCATTTTTCTTATAGGCGTTTGTGGTATCCTTTAGATCAAATAATGAGATTAGTATTATATTAGTGGACATATGGTAGAAATGAAGAACATGAGAATGGGAATGCACCTTGAGGCTGTGTTTGTGTCGTGGATTTGGGTAGGGATTTAGAAAGGGGGAAAAGAAAAAAAAAAGTGAGGGAAATGTGAATGAAATATAAGTTAAATTTTTTCTCCATTTCTCTTGCCTTTTTTTTTTTTTTTTGGTCCAAATCTTTACCCATGATCCAAACACAGCCTAAAATACTATTATTAGAGTTATATCCTTGTACCACTACCTTCACCAGCATATGCACTGCCAACACCACTCGTCTGATTTTGTTGTCTGTAGTGCTACCACTCCACTTTTGCTCTCGTAAATGACATGGTCATCTCCTCTGCAATTGCTGCTGACCTTTACATTGTTGCCATTACATTCTTTCTTCAATTTAATTGAAACATCAACTTACTTACCGTAAGAGAGACATCAACATTGAGTGCTTGTGCTGTAGAAATTGCTTTTCTTGTTTCTTTGGAATAAATGTGGATAGTAATACTAGATAGCCATCACTGGTAGAACCTGACTGAGTTCTCTCTCTCTCTCTCTCTATATATATATATATATCTTGGTTTTTTTAACCCAACAGGCTTGAGTTATATATCTATATGTATATATTAGAAGAGGCAAGCTGGTAACTTGTGAGACTGCTCCTTGAAGTTTCTTTAGGTCACGGACAGTACATGGGTCACATACATATTATGATGCCCAATGGTTTATTAGGAAAGCATTCATGAGCAGATCCATCACGTTTATTTCTCTGTTGTTTCATTTTTCAATTTAGTTTATTGCAACAGTTCTGCAAATCTTGATTTTTTGCCTACAGCATGAGGTATTATTGTCACCCATTAGGATATTGAAATTATTCGTAGTTCGTATGTTTGACAGAACTTGCTTTCATAGTTTGGAAAAAATGATCAGGCTACAGTCAAGTATTTCCCAGACAATTCTTTGTGAAAGTTTGCAGTTCCTTGAAGAAACATTTGTTTACTAAAATTTGTGTTTTGTCCTTGCAAGTTATTGCTTGATTATCCCATGGGAAATTATAGACGTCAAGCATTCTCTATCTCACTTCTGATCTTAAATGCTGCATTTGTTCATTTATTCTTCTCATTAGGATCTGATTACAACTTTGATAAGCTCACCCGCCTTTTACTAATGCCATGTCCTTTGGTGCCAGCCGAATACCAGGGCACTGGGTTCAACCACCACCTCCAGCAGATGAGGTATGGGCATCTTACCTCGTGCAGCCTAAATGATGACCCTCTGTATTGCTAAGTTGGTGGCTGGTATTGTCACATAGGGATGGTGTTATGGTATCTGGTATATTTTTTGACATCTTGACCTTCGGAGATCTTTTTCTTTATTTCTTGGTTTGGTAGCATAATTTGTGTTGGATCTGGTATGTACTTTCGACATAATTGGCTGGCTTTGTAGGCCTTTTCCATGGTTTGGTATAGCATAATTTTGTTGGATACTTGAACTCACATTCTTTCTTCCTCTGAATGAATGGATGAACTCAATCCCTATTATCTTTCTCTTATTTTCCTTTTCTTCTTAGTTTTAAATGATTGGATTTGGTTAGCTTGTTCAAGGATGTGTTGGTTTTTTGGGCAAAATTTACTTCATCACCTTGTGATTTCACTTCAGAGCACTTTATCCTTATTGTTCAAATATAGGCAAAAAAGCCTTATGATTTTGAACTATAGTTCTACGATTAGTTGCACTTTATCCCTGTGGTTCAAATACAGAAAGAGAAACTGGATTTGCACTACAGTGCTACAATTAGGCGCACTTTATCTCTGTGGAGAACGCTTGTGTTTTTTGACTATAATGCTATGATTAGTTTTTTCGTCAAAAGTAGCTACACCCTTCCAAATTGAGGGTAGACAATGCAAAAGTCTCATATCGAAGTAAAAAATCATCCTAATCTCATCTTCTCCAAATTAAATTTTTAATCCTTACAATGTCCTAACCCTAACTATCATATTCCATCAACAATTTAATTTAATTTAAAATGTTATTAATTGAGAATTTGGGTTAAAAATGAAAATTAGACAAATAATTTTATAGTAATGAATTAAAATATTTAGGTTTATTTATGATTTAATTTGTTAAATTTGTGATTAAGATATAAAGTTATATGTATTAAATAAAAGCTTGGTTTAAAAATTAGATTAAAATAATTATATGATAATAAATTAAATATTTAGGTTAATTTGTAATATATATGTTTTTTTTTTGAGGGGTCATATATATATATATATGTGTGTGTGTGTTTAATTTAAAAAATATATATTTTGCTATGAATTTTAAATGTTATTAAATAATAAATTAAACTCTTTCGGTTAATTTTTGGTTTACTTCATTAAATTGCATATATTTTTAATTTAAAATATTATTAAATTAAAATTAGATTAAGCACTAAAAATAATAAAAGTAATTTATGATAATAAGTTAAGATATTTAGATTAATTTATAATTTAATTTGTGATTAACATATAATAAGAGTAATCAGGTAATTTTTTCCATTTTGTTAGCATAATTAATTTTGCCAATCTAATAAAAAAAAAACATAATTTTGCTTCCGTTTTTTTTTTTTTTTTTTGAACGAGTAATTTTGCTTCCTTGTATTGTTAGCTTCTACACCATCTTGTAGAGCAAGCAGTTTTCTTTGTACTAGTTTTTTTTTGTTTGTATTATAAATTTTCTTTTTTTTTTCTGTTGTCACGTGGATTGCCAGGATCTTTATAAAAAAGTTTTACAACGTAAAATGAAAGCCAAAATTTATTGAAATTATGGAATGTAAATGATTATTGTTTTTTAAAATCAATTCACATCAAATCAAATTTTAGGACTGGTTTTCGAAAAAATCATAAAGTTAAAAAATTATTAAAAAAATTTAAAAATAATCACTCTTCACTAAAAGAAATAAAAAAATTAATAAACAAATATTAAATACAAATTAACTTTTTGTCCATTAATGTACTAACGTCAAGCCAACTTCAGTGAAAGGAAAAAAAAATTACATGTATATATTCACTAAGTTTGATGGTAAAGTTTGATGGTAAAATTAGACCAGTGAAAGCCCACCATAAATTCCGTTTTGATAATTCCGTTTTGATAATTCGAACTGTTGAATATGTAAAACTCTTCTAGTACTATATGCTTGTAAAAAAATCACGTCTATCAGATATCGCTACTATATGATCAAATCAATATTATCTAAAAATTAGATGGTGTTATAATTAACCGTTGACAAAAAAAATTAACACGATCAGATAGCTATCAATATTCAATTAACCTGATTTTTTACAAGCATATAATAGTTGACGAATTCTACACATTAACGGTTCCGATTAAAAAAAAGGACCCGTAGTACACTCCTACGGACCGAACAACACGGTCCAATCAAAGCCCGAAAAAAATGCAATATTTTCCCATGTATTCACCAAGCCACTGCACTGCCAATCCGTACGGCATACTACACTATCTTCTGCTACACACTTCTTTATACAATTTTTTAATACACATTTTTTCATAAAAAGTCAAAAATTAACCCAAACATTCATATTTTTTTCCTCGATTTTTTAGTTCAAAAAGACAAAAAATACACTTATTTAAGACATCCCAAACCCCTTAATTCCAATTTAAAGGGCAAATTAAGGTTGTGTTTGGTACAACTTTTGAATCATAATTCTATACAGCGTTTGTTTTCAGTTTTCAAAAATCATTTGCACACCCCAATTTGAAAATTCATATGCCTAAACGTCCCTTCGAACATCTGGCCGATTGACCGCTACAGTGTTCGTAATTTTTTTTTTTTGTACCTATTATTTTTATATTTTAAATAAAAAAATATTTTCAAAATTTTGAATAAAATTTTAGATTGGATGTTTAGTTATAAATTATAAGCTTTTATAACAAAAATTATGTCACATCCCTCAATTCAAAGACTCATTTTAAAACTCATTCACCAAACAAATTTTCTATACTCAAATCACAATTTCAAAATTCACAAACTCAAAATACAATTCATATTTTCAAATGGAAAATGACTCGTGACCGAATTCGGCTCGAAACCCAAAACGACGTCATTTTGAGTTTCAATTTTTTTTTTTCTGCCTTTTCTTTCTCTTCCTTTTCTGTCTTTCTTTTCTTCTTCTTCTTCGATGAACACAGGAGAAGAGCAGAGGAAGAAGAGAGGAGAAGAGAAAGATGAGGAGAAAGAGAGAAAGAGAGAGGAGAGGAGATCGTCGCCGCACCATCGCCGTCGCCTCGCCACCGCCGATCATCGCAGCACCACCGCCGTCGCCTCCGGCCCTGCCTCCTCCTCCCCCTGTGATTATGCCCCCTCTAGTCCTCCTCCTTCCTCCTTCTCTTCTTCTTCTTCCTTCTTTTTCTCTTCTTTTTCTTCTCTGAATTCGAGCCAAATTCAAGCCCCCAAATTCGACTACCTATCATAACCGTTTTCAAATTATATTTAGAAAACTCTACTGCTACCTAAAATTTTGAAATCCAAAGAGCTAGACATCCAATCCACATCAAATCAACATTGTAATTCCAATTCTGGCAATGTTTGGAAAGCCGAAAATGAGACTATTATAGCCTCATTTGAGAAAAAAGCCCAAAAGCAACACTGTTCACAGGTTTTCCAAAAAATAAAAAATAAAAATAAGCTGCAGCCCGAACAGTGTAGGCTACACTGTCACAGCTTCAAAAGTTATCATCAACTGCTAAATTATCATTTTACCCCTTCACATCATTTTAAAAAATTATAATTCAGGGACAAATTTATCATTTTAAATGCAAACATCATTTCAATACACTTTCCAATACAACAACTCAACTAAATATTCATCTTATCTTCCCAAATACAAAAACTAAAATAACCTACTAAAATAATCAAATAGCCTACTAAAATAGCCACTTCCCAAACGAGCCCTCTATAAGTTCCAAGGTCCAAAAATGATATTTGAAATCCAATTTTTTGGTTCTAAACACAGTGCAAGGGATTTGCACGAATGGTGGTAAGAAATGTAGCCGAGGGTTCAAGACGCACCAAAACCAAAAAATCAATTGGAGCATCCTACGATTCGGCAAATCACTTTGCGAAGGAATGTGTTTCAACTGTTAGAGAGGTCTCGTTCTAGAGTCTTTACCCTCTCTGCTGGGACCTTCGCTGTATACATAGGATAAAAAAGTGTGCAAAATCAAGAGGTATTAGGAATTAGGGTTTTGTAAGAGATCAGATCTGTAAAAAGGAAACGAAAGGGAATTGGAAAGAATTGAACTTCCCATTCGACGATCTGCATTTCTTATGATCGATGTTCGAAGGCAAACTTGGCCGAAAGTGCATATATTTCGCACTTCCTCCATAGGTCCTTCGTTGAATATTTATGAATCAACAAAAACAAAAATACTCTTCAAATTCAAATTTGTGAAGAAGATAATGAATGCTCAGTGAATACGAACCATATAGTAAAGAGCTTCATATTGCGAGAGAAATTTTAAGCACCTCGCAATCAGATCTTCTCTTCATTTTCACTCTTCATCGCATCTATTCTCTTTACTCGAAAATGATTTTAAAGACCGATCGATCGAACTATTGTAAAAAATCGGCAAGAGTCGAAACGAAAGAGATAAATTGAGCGGCTGCTACTGAGAAGGCACAGAGCCTAACCTAAAATTTACATTACGGTTTCTCAAACTGAGCCGCATTATGCTTGTACAACGCCCTCATTTTATAGGGTTGTGTTGTAGGGCTTGGATGAGCAAATCTGTCGCATTTACACAATTGCCCTCGGTAACTCGTGTTTGATGGGCTTGGGGATTAGCAATTATGGATTATTTTTAAGATTGCAATAAGAAAAATATTTGAGATTCATGCAATTTGATCGTAATGACGTAGTATGATAGTTTGTAGGGGGTGAGCAGTGGATATATTGATCCGTCAAAACTGATTAAATCGAACCGATTCGTCGCATTTTGTACGGATGCGTAATGACGAGCGGACAGTTGCGGATTGATTTTCTCCAATCCGCTAATCTAGCGGACGAATGGCGGATTTGAGATTCCTTTGGCTGCAACTGAACCGCCAAACCGCGAACACCCCTAGTAATTTATAAGACTTTGTATTTTCAGTTTGTTTAAATATTATGTTTGTGTTTTCAATTAAAAAAGAGATTAAATATTCTGTTAAAAAAAAAATTCAACTTGAATATTTTTTTTAATTGAAAAAAATAAACTTATTATTTATCTATATTTTTTGATTTTTAAATCTATCTCTAAAAATAATAAATAGAAAATATGATATATGCTGGTTGGTTTTCATTTTCAAAAACAAATATAGATATAACAATACAAAGACATGCAATCTCTACTACTACTTTGTTCATAGTTTTAGTGGTTTGAATTATTTTTATATTTTAAGAACCACAAATTGTAATACTTTATGTGGATGAGGCATACTATGATTGTAGTATGTAGATGAGGTATGCAATGATTGTGATATTCTAAAGTTTCAAACTTTCTTACTTTGGATGAGGCATGTCGTGATGGTAATATTTTTTTAAGTCATTGACTGTAATACTTTCTTCTTCTTTTTTTTGAGGAAGTGCACAAATTGAATTATGTTGAAAATTTATAAAATTTGAAACTGCCAAACCGATTCACATCTATCCGTCAAACCGCCAATCCGCTCAATCCACATCTGCTAGATTGGTAGACGGATGCGGATTGATTTTTTTCAATCTGCCAATCTGGCGGACGGATGGCGGATTAGAGGTTTCGTGGCCGCAACTGACCCGCGCCCACCCCTAATAGTTTGTTATTATATTATTGTTGGTAAATTTATAAATTTAAAATTATAAATCTTTAATATTTCTCATAGTATAAATAACTTTATTCTACGCTGAGAGGGTGATTTATGATCTGGAGTTGGGCCGAGGTAACGGCCGAGCAGGTTGAGAGCCCAACGGTGCATGGGGGCGAGATGATCGACTATCCGCCCAGAGATGGGCTGCCAGAACTTGGGCCAGGCAAAACTTGGGCCGAGTGTGTGCCGCCCCAGACCGTAAAGAAGCTGCTCGGCAAGGCAGTGCTCGATCGGACCGAGCTGCTCGATCAAGGAATGGCCGAAGCCAGACAAGCTGAGTGACCGGCGCCCGGAAAGGCGTAGTCAGCCGAGGTAACTGTTTGACCGGTAGAAAGGCCGACCACAGAAGGTGCCTCGGGCTAGGCTTTGCCGAGATGCCGCCTAGCCCGGTCCTCCTTGGTCTTAGCCAGTGAAGTGCTTGGGTATGAAGCACGGCACGGCACAGCAACGGATAGAGCAGCTCGGCTGCCGAGCTCCAGCTGTGATGGCAGGCAGTTGAGATTAGGTGATGTTCAGCAAGGTTTATGCTGACAGATGGGATAGCGGAGCCACGTGTCAGGAGATGACTGGGAGTAGATATGGGGCACAGAGGGTATATAAGCATGTCTGCGCCCCCCATATGCGACAGATGAACACTTTGTAAGGAATTTCTTACACTTAAACTCCTATCTCCCTCTTTCTCTCTATCCTAAGGTATGTGCTAACTTGATCGTCGGAGGGTTTTTCCGGCCACACACCGCCGGGTAGCTCACCATTATTTGCGCGCAGGTGATCAGACATAAACGGAGCTTGGACGAAAGAAGTACGGGCTTGCCGGAATATTTGCTCCCCGTACAATTGGCGCCGTCTGTGAAAAACTTGACAGACAAAACCTTGTCTTCCAGGTTCATCTGATCGCCGTCCATGGCGAACAACGACGAGTTTCCGTTGTCTGCCATAGACGGAGCTACCCTGGAGTTCACCCGAAGGAGAAAAGGTCCTCCCGCCATCCATCCAATGGCGGACTTGGGGACGCCCACTGGAGGACAGTCAGTAGACGCGCGAGATAAGCGCGGAAGAAGTCATGGCCATTCGCGGAGTCCAGACGGTCACCGGCGGAGGAGACACTCACACGCCAGGCGACTGGAAAGTAAGTTGAGAGACCAAGATGCTGTCATCCGGCGAATGGCAGCGGAGATGGAGGATCTGAAGCGGCATGTCAAAGGGAAGGGTGTAGCTGGAATGGGAGACCACAATAAGCGCACCCCATCCCGTCGTTCAGGTGGCCAGAGTCAGCGACGTACTCAGTCCATATCTATTACCAGAAGTTACCAGGTTGGTGATTCCGACGCGCATGCAGAAAAGTCTAGCGCGCAAGACAGCACCTACAAACCCTCACGTCCGGTGACGACGTCGAGGTACTCTTACTCTGCTCAATCGGAGGATTTACGGGCGGTCTTAAAGGAGCGGGCTCGCCGACCCGAAGCTCAGAGAATACCAGCCTTCCAGCGGCTATCCTACGGGGTTCACGCCAGCGAGGAGGTCGGAATGCCTCCACCCCGCCAAGCAGTGCCACTCTTTGAAGATACAAACTTGGCTAGGCTGAGTGCCACCCATTTTTCCCTGGAAATAGAAACAACACCGCTTCCGACAGGCTTCCACCAGCCAAAGTTCACACTTTACGACGGAAAAACCGATCCATATATGCATGTAAGCCACTTCCGACAGGTTATGGCCGGACATAGGCGCAATGACGGACTTATGTGCCTAATCTTCCCGTCAAGTTTGGGCGAGCTGGGCTTAAAATGGTTCGAGAGGTTGCCGGAAGGGAGCATACAAAGGTGGCACCAGCTGGCCGAGGCGTTTGTTACACGCTTCAAAACCAACACAAAGACTCCAAAGGAAGTCGATCATTTGCTGAGCGTCAGGATGGAACCGAGCGACACACTGAAGGTATACAACTCAAGGTACTGGGAAACCTTCAACGAGATCTTGGACTGCCCGGTCAACCTTGCAATCACGCAATACAAGCGTGGTCTCCCGGTCGGACATAGACTGCGGGACTCGCTTACCATGCACCAGCCGACCTCCATGGGCCAACTCATGTAGCGCATCAATGAACACATCCGAGTAGAGGATGACGCGTCAGCTTCTACCGTGAAGGCCACTCCGATAGCAACAAACAAGAAGACAGCAGGCAAAGTGCACGCAGTTGGGCAAGAGTCCAGCCGCTTAAGTGACCGAGCAGAGGAATCGGACCGTGGCTCGAACCATAAAAACCGGGGTAGAGGGCGTCGGAATGACCGGGATGACTACCCCCGAGATGATGTAGCGGACGCAAACAGAAGGATGAAGGCAAGGACTGGCATAACCACGGTCTTCAAGATTCCAATCTATCGCATACTTAGTGAAATCCGAGACGAGGAGTATGTCCGGTTTCCTGCTAAGTTGGGCGATGGACAAAAGGGCTATAATCCGCGGTATCGTTGCACGTTCCACCGGGGAGAGAGGCCACCAGACGAGGATTGTTTGCCTTTGCGGCAACACTTGGAAAGCTGGTTGCGGCCGGGCATCTAGACCTTTACATTTGATGGCGGCGTGAAGCCGAATCAAGCTCCGGTCGATCCCAGGGGACGGGATGCGAGACGCACCACCACAAATAGTTATTAATGTCATCACGGCATCGTGAACGGAGCGTGTTTGCGAAATCCGGGCATGATAAAAAAAGCAGAGCATATGAGGGAAGTTTTTGTCGGTACAGCTGCCATCAAAGGGGGAAGACTGAAGAAAAAGACGTGATTAGTTTCACCTCAAGGGATCTAGAGCGTATCCAGACCCGCACAACGATGCCCTAGTATACACTACGCGTCAAGGACATTGATGTTTAAGCGGATCTTGATCGATCAGGGAAGCTCGGTCGAGATCATGTACTAGATGATGATTCAGCAGCTTAAACTCCGGAGACAGACTTGGCTCCGGCAACTTCGCCACTGGTCGGATTCAACTCACAACCAGAGTGGCCTTTGGAAAAGATATCCTGCCGGTCAAAGCGGGATCCGTGGTCAAACAAGTTGAGATTCTGGGTGCTACAATGCCTTCGACGTACAACCTTATCCTTGGAAAGGATGGCTACACGCCATGCCAAGCTTGTAGCGTCGACCTACCACCAGGTGATGAGATTCCCCTCGGCTATGGGGGCAATCGAGGAGATTTGGGGCGATCAGGTCATGTCCAAGCAGTGCTTCGTGGCGGTCAACGGGAGCCGGGCTGCCAAAGGATTCGTTCAAATGATTGAGGGACCGAAGGACCAGGGTGTCTTGGATGATGTGGGCACCGAGGCCGAAGACAAGGCAGTTGAGGAATTGGTTGAGGTGCGAATTGATACAGAACAGCCGGACAAGTTCTTCTTGCTCGGCTCCAGTCTCACGGCCGTAGAGAGGACCGAGATGGTTGAGTTTTTAATGGCCAACATCGAAGTCTTCACGTGGTCGCCCTACGACATGCCTGACCTCGATCCAAGTTTCATCTGCCACCACCTCAACGTCTACCCTGGAGCAAAGCCAGTCATCCAGCGAACAAGGAGATCGGCACTGCATCACACTAAGGTAGTTGCAGAGGAGGTTGAGAACCTGCTTGAGGCACGACCAATTCAGGAAGTGCACTACCCTCGATGGATTTCCAACACAGTAGTGGTGCCCAAGAAGAATGGAAAGTGGCGAGTTTGTGTCGACTATAAGACAGTCAACCGAGCTTGTCCCAAAGACAGCTTCCCTTTGCCGCGCATTGACCAGCTAGTGGACTTGATGGCTGGACACAACAGGCTCAGTTTCTTGGATGCCTACCGCGGCTACCATCAGATTGCCA